CCAGAAGAGGAGAGAAAGAAAAGGGTAGAAAGAATGTTTAAAGAAATAATGGTTGGACACTCTCCCAAATTTGATACAAGACATGAATCTAAATATCCCTAAGAAGCTCAACGAACTCTCAGAAGGATAAACTCTAAGAGATTCACACCAAAACACATTATAATCAAAATGTCAAAAGCCAAAGATAAAGAGAGAATCTTGAAAGCAGTAAAAAAGAGCAAAGAAACTATACTCAGTAAGATAAACTGTTGATTTCTCATCAGAAACCAAGGAGGCCAATAGCAGTGGGATGACATATTTAAAGTGATAAAAGATAAAAACTGTAATATAAGAAATCTATCTCCAGTAAAACTTTAATAATAAAAGAGAAATGAAGACATTCCCAGAGAAACAAGAGCAGAGGGAATTTTTTTTTTTTTTACCAGAACTGCCCCCTAAGAAATGGTAAAAGGAGTCTTATAAGCTAAAATGAAAGGACACTAGACAATAATTTGAAGCTATATGAAGAAATAAAGAACACTGGTATAGGCAATTACATAGGTAAAAATAAAAGCCAGTGATACTGTATTTCTGGTTTAAATTAAAAGACAAGTGTATAAAATAATAATTATAAATTCTATGTTAGTGGGTACAAAGTGAAAATGTAATCTGTGACTCTAACAATATAAAAAAGGAGGGATGGAGACATATACCTGTGAAGGTGTTGTGCACTGTTGAAGCTGGGAGAGCAATGGAGATGTACAGCAGCAGTTTTTGTATACTATTGAAGCTAAGTTGGCATTATTTCATATTAGGTTGCTATATGTTTAAGATGTGAATTTAATCTCCAAGGTAACCACTAAGAAAATAACTAAAAAATATAAAGAAAAGGAAATGAGAAGGGAATCAATATGGTACATTACCAAAAAAAAAAAAAAACCAAAAACAAAAAACAAAAAAAACAATTAAATACAAAAGGTGGTAGAATTTAGAAACAAAAAAAGATGTAAGACATAAAGAAAATAAATAGCAACATAGGAAAATTCTTTGTTATGAGTAATTACTTTAAATGTAAATGATTATACTCTCTAATTAAAAGGCAGAGATGGCAGAATGGATTACAAAAAATGATTATCTATATTATATCTAAAAGAGACTCACTTTAGATCCAAAGAGACCAAGAGCTTGAAAGTAAAAAGATAACAGAAGATATTCCATGCAAACAGTAATCAGAAGAAAGCTGGGGTACCTATCCTAACAACAGACAAAATAAAAGTTAAAAAGAGACAAGTTAACAAGAGACAAAGAAGGGGATTTTAGACTAATATAAATGGTAAATCCATGAAGAGGATACCACAATTATGAACATATACAAACCTGACAATAAAGCCCTAATATATGAAGCAAAAAACAATGGATTTGAATGAAGAAATGGATTTGAATGAACATCTCCATTGCTCTCCCAGCTTCAACAGTGCACAACACCTTCACAGGTATATGTCTCTATCCCTCCTTTTTTATATTGTTAGAGTCACAGATTACATTTTCACTTTGTACCCACTAACATAGAATTTATAATTATTATTTTATACACTTGTCTTTTAATTTAAACCAGAAATACAGTATCACTGGCTTTTATTTTTACCTATGTAATTGCCTATACCAGTGTTCTTTATTTCTTCATATAGCTTCAACAGCTGGAGACGTCAATATTTCACTTTCAATATGGGTAGAAAAACTAGACAAAAGACCAATAAGGAAATAAAGGACTTGAACAACACTATAAACCAACTAGACCTAAGACATATACAGAACACTCCAACCAGAAACAGCTGAATGCATGTTCTTCTGAAGTGCACATAGAAATACTCCAGGAGTGACCATAAAAGAAGGCACAATAAATTTAAAAGAATTGAAATAATAGAAAGTACATTCTCTGATCACAATAGGATGAAATCAGAAATCAGTAACAGAAGGAAATTTGGGGAATTCACAAATAAGTAGAAACTAAACTACATAGTCTTAAACATCCAACAGTAAAAAAAGAAATCACAAGGAAAATTACCAAATACTTTGAATGAACAGGAAAAGAAAACATATCAAAACTTATGGGATGCAGTGTAGGCAGAGCTGAGATTAAAAATTAAAAATCTCCAGGCCAGTCTCGGTGGCTCACGTCTGTAATCCTAGCACTCTGGAAGGCCAAGGCGGGTGGATTGCTCGAGGTCAGGAGTTTGAAACCAGCCTGAGCAAGAGTGAGACCCTGTCTCTACTATAAATAGAAAGAAATTCATTGGCCAACTAATATATATAGAAAAAAATTAGCCGGGCATGGTGGCGCATGCCTGTAGTCCCAGATACTTGGGAGGCTGAGGCAGCAGGATTGCTTGAACCCAGGAGTTTGAGGTTCCTGTGAGCTAGGCTGACGCCACGGCACTCACTCTAGCCTGGGCAACAAAGCGAGACTCTGTCTCTAAATAAATAAATAAAAATTATATCTCCATAAGCAGTGCTGAGAGATACATTTATAGCTATTAATACCTACCTTAAAAAAGGATAATCTTGAATCAATAACCTAACTTTAAACCATAAGAAATTAGAAAAAGAAGACCAAATAAACCCAAAGCAAGCAAAATAATAATAATAATAATAATGAAGACTCAGTGGGGATAAATGGAGAGTAGAAAAACAAAAAAGATGGACAAACTCCTAGAAACACAAACTATAAAAACTCAAAAATAGAAAATCCGAATAGACTTATAAGAGATTAAATCAGCAATAAAAAAAATTCCCCCAAAGAAAAACACATGACCAGATGGCTTCATTGGTGAATTCTATCAAACATTTAAAGAAATTGATATCAACCATTAACATCAATCCTTCCCGAACTCATCATCAAAAAACAAAAGAGGAAAAACTTTCTAACACATTCCATGAGGCCCATATTACCCTGATAACAAAGGCAAGCAAAGATACCAACATTACAAGAAAACTACAGACCCATATCCCTTGTGAATATAGATGAGAAAGTCCTCTTCAAAATTCTAATAAACTGAATCCACCAGCATATGAATAAAATTAGATATCATGATCAACTGTAATTTATTCCAGGAATACAAGGATGGTTCAATATGATTACGAATAAATGTATACTATATTAATAAAGAGGAAAAAAATTAGACGATCACCTCAGTAGATATCAAAGCATTTGGCAAAAAACAAAACCTTTTCATAATAAAAAACATTCATCAAAATAGAAAAAGGGGGCTTCCTCAATATAATAAAAGTCATATATGAAAAATCCACCGCTAACATTATTCTCAATGGAATATTATTCAATTATAAAAAGCAATGAAGTACTGATACATGCTATGACATAGATGAACCTTTAAAATATTATGCAAAAGTGAGAGAAGCCTGATACCTAGGTCATATATTATATAATTCCATTTATATGAAATAACCAGAATAGAAAAATGCACAGAGACAGAGAAGATTATGGGTTGCTGGGGATAGTGGCAAGGGGGAATAGAGAGTCATTACTTAATGGATACGGGTTTCCACTGAGGTGATGAAAAATTTCTGGAATTAGACAATGGTGGTGGTTGTAAAACTGAATGTACTCAATGCCACTGAATTCCAAATGGTCAAAACTGTAAATCTTACGTTACATGTATTTTACCAAATACACACAAACTTTCTACTTGTCTCCTTTCCTTATCTCCCCTGTGGAACAACTCTGTGGCATTCCCAATTCTTCATTTACTCGAAAGAAATCATATTATTTACATATGTAATCACTGTCATTTAATATCTACCAAAAGTTCAATTATGAGAAATAATATCTATGATAAACTGAACATCTTGTGCTTCCTTTTCTCTAGACCAGTGGTCTCCAATTTTTTTGATCATGTAATCCTACTAAAAAAATATTTTTGAGCACAAATTGCCAAAATAGATATTTATTTATAAATTATATCACTACTATACTCATATATACAAAAATATAAACTTTAAAAGGTTGAAAAAATGAATATAAATTCTAAAATTTTTCTTTCCATACGCCAATGAACCATTTTGAAAGCATGTTTCTTTAGAGAGTACTTCTCTACTTAGTCTAAATCTTACTCTTGGGTTAAAGTAATGGTTTGCATTTGTTGACCCCTTGAGATCTGTCTTACTAATCCCCTAAACTAAGGAATGTGATAATGGCCTTATAGGTGTTACAGAATTTATTGTAAGGATGTTGTCGACTCTGTTACATTGTGGTGCCTTCTTTATGAAGACAGGTGAGAGAAATTTCCCTTAGGTCTTTGCACCAGAAATATCTGTAATGTTTTAGAAAATATAGCTTGCTTTTATATACATACTGATGTAATTGATCATGAAATTCTAGCAACACTAAGTGCTAGAAAAACACAAGGCCAAATTTGTAGCTCATTTCTAGCGACCACATCCACAGGTATATTTATGTCCCTTCTGCCTTCAACTTGTCTTTCCAACACTTACAATTCTTCATTTATTTATTTTTTAAAAATCATGTTGTAGCTCACTCCAGCTTCAATTTTTCTATCATCCCAATTCAGTGACTTTTAAAAAAATCATTTTGCATTATTTATGTGTGTGTATATTTAAAAGCACCTCAAATATATTTCTTGAAAGACAGGGAAGAATGAATAAAAAACAAAAAACCCCAAATAAACAAAAACCAGGCAATGTTGTTCAGAATAGAGGTCATTCTAAACTCGAAGCTCCCCCACATCAGGGTTATACTTTGCAGATTCTGAAGCATCTAGCAGCAAAGCCCTTCGTTCAAGAGGTAATTTATAAATGAGTGTTGATGAAAAGAATGACAACTCACAATAGCACTGTACTACACTTTCTCACTCTTTTCCAGTTGATAAGGAATGTTATAGTGAGGAAAGGGCAAATGGCTTTTTTTTTCACCTATGTGCAAAGGTTAACTAAAAAGTCCATGAAAAAGGCAGTCACATTGCCAGATGCAATTTGTAGCCATGTACCTGGATGTGTCTCCTGGTGTGCTCAGAAGTCATTAGAGGATGGCCTGTATTCAATGCTTTAATGTTGTGCTTGCTCCGCCTCTCAAGGTATCTCCTCTGTTGATTGGTGACACTGCTATATAATTTAATTCGCCTGGGTGATAAACATACTCTGTCATGGCCAAAAGCTTGGATTAATCGGGCGGTGTCAATGGTAGAAATAGAGCTACTCCTTTCATGCAAAGCTACCTCTCCATCTGTTTGGGTTAATACATCTGATTCCACAGAAGTGGTGGAAAGGATGTTGGTAGGAGTATCTGTGAGCAGCTCACTCTCCTCCGAGGGCCTAGAATCTGATGAAGTGTTGCTTATATAATTAAAATTTGGCTGTTTTCTCAGAATGTACTTATCAAATTTAATCTGTTCAATTTTAATCTGATTGGATCTCCCAGCTTGATGAGTGGAAAGCACCTTATTTTTTTTAAGATCTCCTGTGTTTTTACGGCTTTTCTCTAAGCTTTTATACCGCTTCTTTTTCAGAAGCTTGTGTCTCTGCTGTTGTCTACTACTCCACTCTTTAGCACCTCGTTCCCCTCTGCTATCATCCTGTGTACTTTCTGAGGCCTGGAGAGAATATGTGATGGGATTTTGAAGAATTTTAGCCAAACGATCAAGTCGCTCCACCAAGGATAATTCTTTCTTGTCACTCAACTCAGATGGTTTTTGTTGCCTCTGTCGCTCCTTATACTTGTTCCAGAGTTCATTTAAACACACAGTGTGCGGAGTTTTTAGCTCTGGGGTGACCTTATGATCCTTTTTTGGATCACTGATTTGTCTGTTATGTTGTGGATGATCTTTACCCTGACTTTTAGGAGTATGCACTACTTCTTTGTTTGCCAAGTTCACATTGATGCTGAGGCTCTTTATTCTGGCATGATCCGTTTTAGTCTTGTCCGCATTTTCAAAAGAGGGAAGACGAGCGTGTTCTCTATGTTTGCCCGGATGATGCTGAAAGAAATCTTTCCAAGAATGCCTCACGAAAACACTCCTTCCCAAAGATTCTTGGCCATCTTGATCACTGGGTGGGTGCACTGGATGATGAATGTAAAACTTGGCTGACCTGAAGACAGAATGAGTAGTATTTTCAAATTCTGAACGACATTCGGCCTCTGAAAAGAAAAAAAAGAGATTTTGAAAGAACTTAAAAATGTTGGCATTCCCTTTAGAAATACTATTTACACTTAATTCTTTAGATATAGAACAAAGACTAAAGGAATGAAGAGTTTATATGAAGTGTAAGAAAATTCACTGCCTGCACAAAAGATTCATGCCTTGTTCCTAGCAGCCAGACCGGGTAGGAAAAGTAAGTAACTAAGTAAGACTAGTAAGTAAAACTTTAAGAGATTCTGGGTCAAAAGACCTGGATTCTGGGCTCCACTCTGCCACTGACCTGCTATGTGACCTCAAGGAAGGTACTTTAGTTCTTCAGAACTAAGAGCAGCTGTTATCTGTATTTATCACCTGCTATCTGTGGGGGTGTTAACATATGTGCTCTATATCTGTTGTTTTTTTTTTAATTTAATCCTGCTAATAAAACTGAGAGATAGGTATTGGTAACCCCATTTTCACCTAAGAAGCCTGAGACTTCATTTTCATCACACTTAGATAAATTTTTTAAAAAATCTTTTTACATGTTTTAGAGGCTTTTAAAATTCCTTTTCTAAGGCTGGGCGTGGGTGGCTCACATCTGTAATCCTAGCACTCTGTGGAGGCTGAGGCCAGAGGATTGCTTGAAGTCAAGAGTTCAAGACCAGCCTGAGCAAGAGTGAGACCCTATCTCTACTAAAAATAGAAAAATTAGCTGGTTGTGGTGGCGCACACCTGTAGTCCTAGCTACTTGGGAGGCTGGGACAGGAGGATTACTTGAGCTCAGGAGCTGGAGGTTGCTGTGACCTAGGCTGACACCACAGCACTCTAGCCCAGGCAACAAAGCAAGACTCTGTCTATAAAATGACAAATAAAATAAAATAAAATAACATAAAATTCCTTTTATATAAACTACCTTCATTTTTTTCCAAAAATTTTTATTGTAGTAAAATACATATAATATAAAATTTACCACTTTCCATCTTCACTTTTTGACAACCATTACTCTATATCAAGAGGCATTTTTATATATGATAATATCTTACAATTTTCTGATTTGAATGTGTCCTTCTAAAATTTAGGCTGAAACTTAATCCTCAATACAACAGTATTAAGAGGTGGGGCCTTTAAGAAGTGATTAGGTCATGAGGGCTCTGCCTTTGTGAATGGGATTAGTGCCTCTGTACATGGTCTTGAAGGAGCCTGTTTGGCTCTTTTCCAGCTTTCACCATGTGAGGACACAGCAACAAAGCATCATCTTGGAAGTAGAGACTGAGCTCTCACCAGACACTGAATCTGTTGGCACCTTGATCTTGGATTTCCCAGCCTCCAGAACTGTGAGAAATAAATTTCCATTATTTATAAATTACCCAGTCTGTGGTATTTTGTCCTAGCAGCAGGAAAGGGCTAAGACACAATCACAAACCCTAATTATAAATTCTAATATGGGAGCAATACACACCATGGCATGGGCAGAAACAAAGACATACACATGTAACTACGGGGTCCTTTTCACCCATACTATAGATCACTTGCAACCAGAATTTTCATCAAATACTCTAGGAATCCCTCTGGATTTTCCCAGTGTTCAGTGGGATACATGGGATCTGCTTTCATATCTGAAGTGTAAAAAGACTGTACACTTTTAGAGTTATCTAGCAATATTTAAAAATTGGGACATTTCACTTAGTTTCTACAGGTTCTTGAGATTGTAGCTACTGCATTAAAAAAATACATAAAAATAAATATATAATTATAGTTTAAGGGTTATGAAGGAGAAAACCAAGGTGATATAAGAATAATTTAAATGAGAAATGGTAATTAGAGAAGGCTTCTCTAAGGGGGCTAAAATATGAAGTAAAAATGAAAGCTAAACAAACCAACAAAACCTATTAGGTGAAGAACATTCTGGGCTGAGGGATAATCATATGTGGTTGTCCTGAGGCAACTGCTACCTATGCCTATCCACCTGCTCCTACAACCATTTTGGATACAGAGGCAGGACCACCCTTCCTTCTTTTAAAGGAAAGTCAGTCCACTGGTGCTCTGGAGGCCAACTCAGCTTCCTTTCAAGACCTCAGTTCTTTTCTCTTTCATATCTGCCTTACATCCTCTAATAGATCATTTCCAAAAGCTTGAAAGCATTATTAAGTATATCATATCTTTAAAAACCCTCACATCTTCCTCCAGACACCAGTCCATTTCTCTACTCTTCATAGCAAAGCTTCCAAAATGGAAAATATATATTTTTTCCTGTTCTTTACCTCTTTTCCTACCCCAATTCACTCTTCAAATTACTTCAGAGTACAGCCATACTATTGGACTAAAACTGCTCTTGCTAATATGATCAATGACCTCCAGTATGGCCAATTACAGGGGATGTTCTCATTCTATATTCTCTTTCTAGGTGATCTCATCTCTTCCTGTGGCTCTTAGTACCATCTTCATGCTGTTAACTATTCTCAAACTTACATTTCAAGGTATGATTTCTCTGTTGAGCTCCAGATTCATATATTCAACTATACATTTGATATATCTACTTGGCCACAGTCACCTCAAATTTTAAATGCCCCTAATTGAACTCTGTTCTAGCCTCCTCTAGAACTGTACCTCTCTCAATCTTTTACAACTCTATAAATGGCACATCACCCTATTGCCTAAACCACAATCTGGGAGTTGTTCTTGATACTTCCAACTGCCTTGTCTTCCTGTTCCTGCCATTAATCCCTGACCAAACCTGTGGAATTCTATTTCCTCTCACAATACTGCATGTCTCTAATAGGCCTCCTGTCCCTTCTTGCCCTTTTCCCAATCATTCTTCAAACAATGGTCAAAGTAATCTTTTAAAAATATAAACTGGACCTGTCATCTTTTATTTAGCAACTTTCAATGGCTTTTTGTTGCATTTAGAACAAAAAGCCCAAATGTCTTAACAAGGCACAAAAGTACTATATAACTTCCCTTCCTCGTTGCATACCACTCTCCTTGACAACATACTTCAACCCTTTAACTGGGGAAAGCATGCTAGCCTCTCCCCACTTCATCAAATAGCATGAGCAAAGGCCTGTGAGTGGGAAAGAACTAAGTAAATAAAGGAAGGGTATAATTATTCAGTGTGTGTGGCTTATACAAATTATAAAGTAGAAGAAAATACAGTAGGAAGGGTTACTTTGGGCCAAGTTCTACAGAGCTGGAACATCAGGTCAAGCACTTTAGATTTTTTTCTTAAAAGAAATGAAGACCCAGTATACCATTTTAAACAGGGAAATAACATAATTATGGCTGTAATTCAGAAAGAATACCTTGGCAACAGGATAAAAGAAGCAAAACTTTGAAGGGCTATTTAGAATATACTCTAAACAAATAAAACAGTAAGGAAATAGATAATGTTACTTTAAAATATGTTTGTTTTAAAATATCAATATTTTCAATTAACACAGTCTCGATTTGGAACTGAAGTAAAATATATAGGAACTGGTAAAAAAATTATGAGCAAGCTAAATTTCTCAAATATAAAGGGCTCTACAGAGCATCAGGATTAGATAATAACCATTTCATGGGCACTTTGTTAATAGTAAACGTGAAACCAGTTGAGGTGGTTATTTACTTCTGATAATGACATTAGTTTTATACGCAGCATTTGCAAAATGCCTACAAAATATATCAAAGTACACTGAAAATACAATTTACTGTTTTGTAAAAATTAAACATGCAAAATATCCAAATAAGGTGAAAAATAAAGGTCTCCCTGCTATCAGTGCACCTCTTCTTGTCCCACTTTCCAGTGATAACTACTATTAAACAAGGTTTCTTCTGTCTATTTAGATAAATTCCTGCCAAGTAGTACAAAAATATTTGTTTGAAATGAAAGTTTTAAGCATATACAAACATTTTATATAAACTGATTTGATGTACCATAATTTAAGTAGGTATTTGGTTTTTTCCCAATTGCTTCCTGAGCACACTGCAGTGAACATCCTATTTTGTGTGTGTGTGTGTGTAATTTTATTTTTATGGGTATAGCTTATCTCTATAATTCCTGTAAGTGTAAATGCTGGGTGAAAAGGGAAAATTCATTTCAATATTAGTTAGATATTGCCAAATTGCCCCGCACCTTCACAAAATGTTACAACAAATTTGTACTTCTAACAACAGTCTTACGAGAGTGCATGAATGTTTCCCCATGTACTCAACCATACTAAGGATCACCAAATCTTTTCTTCTGTGCTATCGTGATAGGCAAAACAAAATCTGTGGTTTTAGCATATTTCTTTAATTATTAAGAACATTAAGTATTACGTCAGGTCTTTTAATGGCCATTTGTATTTCTTTTACTGTAAACGTGCAATTCATGTCCATTGACTGTTTTTCTATGAAGGCTGTCTTTGATTTGTAAAAAGTTCTTTGCACAGTAAGAAAATTAGTCCCTTTTTTCAAGTTTCTCAATTTCTTAAAACTGTTTTCCCACTTTCCATTTATAAATTGGCTTTGCATTACAGTATTTTCTACCATGAAAAAACTTTAATATGTAGATAACTTTATCAAATCTTTGCCTGTATGACTCTTAGATTTTGTCAGATCTTGAAAGCCTTCCCCTATTCCACTTTATTAGAAAAGTCATAATAATCCCTGCCTTCATATAGGACCTTTATAATATGATCTCTTTTTTTATATGTAGACCTTTGAAATATGTGGATTTTGGTGACAGGAGTAAGTAAGATAGGGCTACAACTTAAATTCTCCCCAAACTCCAAATGGCTAACAAAGCATCTTGGCGTTATTTGTCAAATAATCTATTTTTTTCCAAACTGATCTGACATGGCAACTTTATCATAAATGTCCAATGTATGTAAGTATTCCCATTGATGTATAGCCTCTTGTCCTAGTAGCATCCTTTTAACTATTATCACTGTATAATTCATTTTAATACCTTATAAAATATAAAATGTGATTAATATAAAATATAAAATTATAAAATGTGATAAATATATGTTATATATTTTGGTCTTGTCCCCAGCTCTTG